TACGCCATACTCTCTGGGAGCGTTGTGGGATTAAGAGTTGTGACCTATACAGTACCAAACTTAGTAGTAAGTTTTTGTTTTGTTTTTACATTCTTCTTGTAAAATGAAAAGCAGATAACCATATAAAACAAATATATAGGTTATTGAATTATTTTAAAGCAGCCACTCTTATAGGTTAAGATATTGAATTTTGCCAGCACCGCAGACACCTTCCATATGCCCCTTCCCATAATAAACTGCCTCCCTTACCCCCAAAGTAGCCACTCTCCTGATTTTTAGAATAATCACTTCCTTACATTTCTCTATAGTTTTATCACCTAAACATGCCTCCCTAGACACTGTAGTTTATTCTTACCCTCACTTTTTTTAATTTGATAATGCCTTTAATTGTCTTAATCTACAGATTTCCCTCTGCATCCCTTTCTTTTTCTTACAATTTACCCGTTGAAATACCTGGGCTGTTTGGCCCATAGAGTTTCCTGATTTTTGTTGATGGAACACACATAGGGCACATTTGGTTATTAAACCAAACACAGTGTCTTCTATGTAGGAGCTCAGTGACCATTTTGTAATTGAAATTGACCGGTACATGGAAACTTTGGTAGATGATTCGTTCAGAATTAGGATACCACGCACTATTTTCTAACTTCCAAGCAGCTGGTTTCTTTGAGAGAACTTACTGCTGGGAAAGCCTTATTTTAAATGAGGTATACATTGCAATTCTTACCAACTGATTCAGTTTTCTCTCTTATGCGTCTTTAGGACAGTATGTGAAAGCTCAAATCCGAGAACTGCCATTAACCTCTGGGTCATGGTAAATTAGTTGTTCAACTTTTCAAGTTTGTGCTGACTGTAACAGAAACTTCATGTTTCTAATATTTGTTTTCCAGCATTCTTAAACTGTTACATGCATAGATAGCTCAGCAAAGTCATGTTCCATTTATGTCAGCCAGGAAGGGAAAATGTGGAGAAATTTGTTTATCTGAATGAGTTAGGGAACAGGCACTTTCAATCAAGTTAATTTTCTAGTTGGTTGAGTTTCATCTGTACCCTTTATGTATGTGGTTAGTTAGTTTCCAAAGAATTAGTATCCAGCTAAATTCATGTAAACTACATATGGAATATAATTTAACTTTTCTTTGATGAGTAAGATCTTATACTGCCTAATGGCCACCACCCTGAGTGATTTTTAAACCCCACAAAAGTCACATTTAGGGGCCAGCCCAGTGGCATAGTGGTTAAGTTTGTGTGCTCCGCTTCGGTGGCCCGGGGTTCGCGGGTTCAGATCCCAGGTGTGGACCAATGCACTGCTCATCAAGCCGTGCTATGGCGGCGTCCCATATAAAGTAGAAGAATATGGGCACAGATGTTAGCCCAGGGCCAATCTTCCTCAGCAAAAGAGGAAGATTGGCAACAGATGTTAGCTCAGGGCTAATCTTCCTCCCCCCCGCAAAAAAAAAAGTCACCTTTAAATATAAATCTGGTATCAACTTTTTTTCTTTTTTTTTTTTCCGACTTTTTGTAACTTCCTCTTAAAGTAGAAAGTTTACAGACTTACAGTCACGGGATTGAGGCCTCTTGAGATCCTTGAGGGAGGGAAAGAAAGGGACAGCAGTGACACTGAAAGACCGTCAAGGGGCCCACTGTTGGCTCTATGCCCCGGAGGATGAGGCCGCCTGTCCACAGTCAGTAGTGTGACCACGGGGACAGGTCTGCTGAAACCAGAGCCTTGGCTGCTCCAGATTTTAGAGGCAGGCTTCCTCTTCATTATCAGCAGGGGAGAAGAGGAGGGAAAAGGGTTGTTCTCTGTGTTACCTCGGCATGAGGCCCATTTCTCATTTATTCATTTTTTCACGTATTCAAAGTGGCTATTTGTGTATCAGCAGCTATAGGTGCTGAGTATACAGTGGTGAACAAAACTGAGCATGACCCTTGCTCTCAGGGAGCTTACAATCCAGAGGATGAGCCAGACTATCACAAGCAAGCAAGCCAATCAAAGAAGAGATGAACAATTCTAGATGTGGTGAAGGGCAAGGAGGAGAATGACAGGGGCCCCTGCTTTAGACTAGGTGGCCAGCGCAGGCCTCTCTCAGGTAGCGGCATTTAGGCTGAGACTCAGCAGCTGCCATGGGGAGGGTAAGGAAATGGTGTTCCAGGGCAAGACCACAGCACGTGCCAAGGCCATTGAGGCTGGCTTGGTATTTTTGAGAAACTAACAGCAAGCCACTTGAGTTGAAGCTTAATGAATAATCACCTTTTCGAAAGTCGTTTTTCGCTTAGGCAAATACAGACACATAATGGTCCTGTTGGGCAACTATATTTGTAACCATAAAGTATTTATATTTCCTGTGGAAAGCCTTGTCACAATCACAAGAAAATGGAACATATGTACGGCCTTAGCAGATGTTGATCTGCTCCTTATTTTACTTAAAACTGCAACTCTTGATTCCCTTGATCCTACCCTGGGAGACTGGGCAAGCACACCTAGCAGAATATAGTTTCATCAACATCATAAAGTCTTTTAAGCAAAAATCGTGTTGAATTATCAAAACTTACATTAAATTTTTCTGAATCTTCTTTACCAGCTATTTGGTTTTCATGGATCTCCTTTTCTTTTTTTTTTTTTTTTGTTTGGAAGATCAGCCCTGAGCTAACATCCATGCTAATCCTCCTCTTTTTGCTGAGGAAGACCAGCTCTGAGCTAACTTCCATTGCCAATCCTCTTCCTTTTTTTTCCCCAGAGCCCCAGTAGATAGTTGTATGTCATAGTTGCACATCCTTCTAGTTGCCGTATGTGGGACACGGCCTCAGCCTGGCCAGAGAAGCGGTGCGTCGGTGCGTGCCTGGGATCCAAACCCGGGCCGCCAGTAGCGGGGCACATGCACTTAACCGCTAAGCCACGAGGCCGGCCCTGGATCTCCTTTTCAAATGACCAGGTAGACTTTAAAATACCCAGTTTCTAGTTGATTACATTTCCTCATTAAAAGTGTTTTCAGGGGCCGGCCCCATGGCACAGCAGTTAAGTGCACACGCTCCGCTTCAGCGGCCCAAGGTTCACAGCTTCGGATCCCGGGCACGCACCGACGCACCGCTTATCAAGCCATGCTGTGGTGGCGGCCCATACAAAGTAGAAGAAGATGGGCACGGATGTTAACCCAGGGCCAGTCTTCCTCAGCAAAAAAGAGAAGGATTGGCATCAATGTTAGCTCAGGGCTAGTCTTCCTCACACACAAAAAAAGCATTTTCATCTTCCTTGAGTAACAGTCCAGAAGTGGGAGAACCCTAGGATCACTGTTGAAAATGACCTGTAAACACCAGCCAGGTCGTTGGGTCTCTACATTGAGGATTGTGCTGAGTGTCCTGTCACTAGGTTCGCTGGTAGCAGAAAAGAAGGGGACCTACCTTTATTAAGCCTTGGCATGATGTTCTGTTAAAAGGACAGCTTGAACTCCTCACGAAGTCTTTCCAGTGCTCTCCTTCCAGTTTGCACACACATGTCTGATTCTATTGTAATGTTAGTGTAGTTCTCTTACCTCTTTCCTTTGTTCATCACTCAAGATTGACAGCCCTGCTGCGGGAAGGCTCACCCTCTTATTGACCAGACGGTAGTCCAGTGCTTTCTATTGCAGCAGCTGTTCATTACACCCTGCTGTGGGGAGGCACTCTAGCTGCTTGGGCACCACACACAATAGAATTTTCTCTTTTGTCAGTTTTCATTCCCTTGCCGGCTCCATTTCTGTTACCTGTCTGCCTCACTTCTGCTCTCAAATTCTCCTTCTTTTTTCTTGCTTGCTTTTCTTTTTGGAGCTTTTCTGTCCTCACTCACCCACCTCCTGGGACTTTCTTTCTTCTCTGTGGTCTACCTGCCAACTCTTCTGTAGCTTTCCCTATTTTTCACTCTGCTCCTCTTCTCCCCTACTTTCCCACTGTTTTTCTTTTCCCTTGACTCATCTGCACGACCCTTGTCGCATCTTCTTTGACACTAATTGCATTTGACATTGAATTTGGATCAATTACCCAACTAATAGCAGCAGATTTCATTTGTGCATTATTTACACTTCATGTTGGGGACTCTGGCACATCCTGCTTTGTGTACGCCCACACCCCCAGTGCCTAGGTGAGGTCCTGCTGTGGAGGAGTGAATGATTAATACATTCTGGTGGAATAAACGAATGAACACATTGCTGGTCAGCTTGATGGTGTCCATTATCCACAATTTCTGCCTCAGAAGGAATTTCTGGATCTTGAAGCTTCCAGACTCTCCTGAATAGATGAGAATGGATGGCTAGCTAGATGACAGGTATGGAAAATGCTCTGTGTTATTTATCACACAGTAGAGTAAGCATCTCTGCATGGTAGGGGAGAGAATGCTGTTAGCAAGTCTGGGTTCTGGTCCTGGCTTGTCCATTCCTGCAGCCTTGCATGGGAGAGCAATAACCTCTCTCAACATGAGTTCATTGATCTGAAAATGAGCCACCTTACCAGAGTGTATGAGGAGAGATGTGTGTAAAGGCACTGTATGAGTTACAAAATACTAGACAAATAGAGCATCATTATGTTGCCTGTATTACCCATAATACAATTAGTAATTTAAAATTGGAAACTTCACATTACAAATATATGATTTACTTTTAAATCCATCTGTTGAAGGAATGTGTCTAATCATCAAATGATAAGGGCTGGCATGTACTTGGGACCATAGAGAATAATTTATTGAAAAGCTTCCCTTTATAGGAATGTAGGATTAAAAGTAGACAAATAACGATGAAAATAAATGTGCGCTTCTGATAGCACATGTTTACACAAACCAGTGTGATGGTAGTGCATCTGTGTCTAACCTTTGCTGGACTCCTCTGATTCGCAAATGAACGAGAAGAGGACTAAACCCTGAGCCTCCTTCAGTGTCCCAACTTGTCCTACCTTAGCAAGCCCCAAGTCATTTGCTTTCTCTTAAACAACCTTTGTGCTTCTACCTCTCCGTTCTGCTTTCATTCCTACAGGCCATGCAGGACGCGTTGGCAGACCTTCCAGAATGGTATGGAATAAAAGGCATGCAGGCCCACTGGATCGGGGACTGTGTGGGCTGCCATCTGGACTTCACATTAAAGGTGATGAAGCAATAGCATCTCCAGCAATTAATGCTCACAAATCCCCTTCTGCATTTTTAGAACTCGTTGAACAGACCAGCACCTTGGGACTCGACAGCAGTGCTGTGCAGTAGAAAGATGTTGTGAGTCACATGCATGATTTCAGATTTTCTGGTAGCCACATTTTTTAAAAGTGCAAAGAAACAGGTGAAATTTTTTAATAACATTTTATTTAACTCATTATATCCAAAATGTTATCGTTTCAAGATGTGATCAATAAGAAGAATTTATTTAGGTAATAGTTTACATTCTTGTTTTGGTATGAAGTCTTCGAAATCTGCTATATTTTACACTTACAGCACCCAGTAGCCACATTTCAAGTGCTCCATAGCCACGTATTGCTGCTGGCTACCATGTTGGACAGCACAGGTCTTCTGGGGGCCCGTGAACTCCCTGAAGTGATGGGCAGAGTGTTTGTGTGGGCATTTTCCTGAGCAGTGAGTCCATAGCTCTCGCTGTATTCTTAGGGAGTTCATGTCACAAAACGGGGTAAAAGCTAAGGGAGCCGAGGCTAACCGTGACACCATTTCAAAACGAGACAGACTTAACGCTGTCGGGGACTGTGTGCTGACCCAGGGTTCAGAAGAGGTGACCTGCTGTGGAAACAGTGCTAAAAGGTCACTACTGAAGGCCCACCTGCTCTGAAGGTGCTCCTCAGACTGTTCTCTTCATCTCTACTGACTAGAAAGTTGTTCTATTGCTATTTCTTACCTGAGTGTTCTTTTTTTATCCTGATTTCTCCTTCTCTGATCAAGACTTTTGTGCCCTGTTCATTTAGCTCCAAATCCTTCCCTCGCCTTAATCGGAGTCACAACCTTGAGGAGGAGGGAGCAGCAGCCAAGAGACAAAGTTGACCTACCTTTCTAAACTCTTTCCTACTGGCATCGTTCTCTGGTGTCTACTGAGCACCTGCCACTTGTCACTGAGCTCACCATTCCCTGTGCCATTTCCTCACAAAAGTGACCCAACTCGCTCCAACTGCAGACATGGGAAACCCACCATAAGGGAGGGTGTACTTTGAAAACTGAACTTTCCTCCTATCAATTTTCTGAGAAGGTGGTGAGATTTCTGAAATTCAGTCCAGCCGTGACTTTTGTTCAGACTCTCAGGCCCGTCTCTTTTGGGGTCCTGTGCATTAGACTGGGTCTGGTCCCCATGTCAAAGGCCTTTGTGTCTCAACCAGGGTGAAGAGTGTGCTTCTCTGAGCCACTCAGCTGGTGTACGTGGAATGTCTTCTACGTTCTCTCCCTTGCCCAACATTTTAATATGAACATGTTTTTATCTCCATTCCTGGACCCACCTGAAAATGAGATGTCTCAAGGGAAGCAACACTCTCAGTCCTGCAGGTGCAGGGCCATGTGGCTGTGCCTCTCTGGCCCCAAGCCTGGCTCCATAGGTGACAACTAATTGTCACTCAGGCCATAGGGTGGACTTTTAGTTCTCGGCCCTGAGTGCCTCACACATCATTGGCACTCTGAACGCGTTTGAATGAATGTGTGAAGAAAGGAGCACATGTCTTCTCTGTGTCCTTTGTGACTGTCACATAATTGATACTCAGTTGATGCCTAATATATGCCTCTTCCTCGAAAGGCATTTAACCAGACCGAGGAATACTCAGTCATGAGCTCAGCTCAGGCTGCCCTTTCTTTCCTCTTCAAAATGGTATTAGCCTCAATGACTGTTTCTCTGGTTAGAAAAGTAGATGCCATTAGCTTTTACTGTCCCTTAAATCCTGGAGGAAAGTATAGCTCTTTTCTCAGGACAGAAACACTATACCATTGACAGTTATTTTTGATTTGTGAACAGAGGAGCCACACAAACAGGGAAGGTGTCTCTGAGCATGCTGTGACCACCTTGATTCGGCTGCCAGGCACGCCACACGCCAGTGCCTGTGGTGGGCGCTAGGGAGGGCTTCTGAAAGAGGACTGTGATCCTCTTCTCCCGCCCTTCTCTGTCTCTGCCAGGGACATCCCTGGGGCTGTGGTCAGAAGCTGTCCCCACTGTTTGGGATTGAGGAGGGCACGGAAAAGGGGATATGACTGGGAGCACACAGGCCAGAGGGACGACTGAGAGGTGAAATGACTCTGTTTTCCCCCTGCCAGGTTGATGGACAAGTCACGGGAGAAAGGCTGACCGCCTACACAACCACCCCCGAGGCCATTTACGGCACTTCCCACGTCGCCATCTCTCCCGGCCACAGACTGTTACACGGGCACAGCTCTCTGAAGGAAGCCTTTCGGAAGTCACTTGTCCCTGGCAGAGGTGAGTCGGCAAGTGAAGGCTAAGACAGGAGGATTACACCTTAAGTGTGGACAGCGCCTCACAGAGTTCACATATGTCATCTTGTGTGATTTGTTCTTCACCTTGACCTGACTTTTTATTTTCTTACTTTAGAACATGAGGATAAAAAAGAGCTTTGAAAATGTTAAGTTACCCCCTGGTTTCACTTCGAATTACTGGTTTGTCTGCTTCTTGAGTTTCTAACTGAAAGCTCAACTCTTTCCCTTTAAATATAATCTAGATTTAAAGCTCTTTTCTAGAAAAGAATCTTCTGCTTCATTTATAATTCTGTCATCAAATAAAACTATACTGACAGTGACGGGAAGGAAGCCAGTGAAAATTAGAGGAAACATTTCATTTTATTATTTTAAAGAATTTGCATGGTAATCTGAGCAGATAAACAGAGTCTTGCTCAATACTGGTCTTTAATGAGTGGATCAAGCTGACCTGGAATTGGCATAGCAAGCATTACTGGTCAGTGAGGATTTGGGGAGTGCCTGTGCGTTGGTCAGGATTCTGTGGTTGCAAGCAACAGAATCCGTCTCTGGCTAACCCAGAGGAAAAGGGAAACATGTTGGAAGGCTGTGGGAAGCTTGCTGACTAGAACAGCTGCAGAATCAGTCTGGAAGAGGACTTGGACCAGGCAGCTATAGAGGTTTTGGCAGCAGGAACTAACAGACAGTCTCTTGAGTACCACTGACATGGATCTGCTCTCACCTCACCCTCAGTGCTGGGGGCACTTGGTATGAGGTTCCTGTTGCAGGGAATGGTATCTGATTGATACAACTGGGGCCCCTGGCCTTTTTCTTGGCCAAGGGAAGGCTAGGCACCTTTCTTGATAGACCACCAAGACTGTAACCAGTGAGGAATGGGTGGCTCTCCAAAACAAGCTCAGAGGCTCTTACCAGAGGAAGGGGATATGGATGCTGGGCAGGTGAAAGGAAGTGCTATATCAATTAGAAGTAGGTCTCCAGAGAAATGTAAATATTTCTATAAAAACCTCATCCCTATTCTCTTTTCATAGACTATAAACTTCAACCCAAAGCACACAGTCTGAATTACTGGAGTCTGTTTGAATTATTTGACTAACAAAAAGGTTTTGGATGATGATGTAAAATTTTTGAAAAATTGCTATTCTTAACCAGAATGAAAGATTTCTTGATATCAGACTGGAAAGATAGACAATGTCATCCCAACTTCCCTCTGCTTAAGACTTCTGATTGTTTACTTACAGCATCACAGCCAGGGTCAAATCAGTGAGTACTTACTAAGAGCCTGCTACATGCTAGCACTCAGGGATGCCCAGATGACCTTTCCCAGTCCTGCCTTCCAGGGGGTTAGGACAGAGAGCCGATGCATGCGTGATTCACTCTAGCACAAGTCAGATGTCACTTGGTTTCACCTCTTTTGTTGTTATATATTGAAATAGAGAAAAGACTCTTGAGTTAAATTTCAGTGTGTGCTTATAAAGTCCAATGTAGCTATCTTTCTGTTTTATATTTTACTTACTCAAAAGAAAAGTTGGATTCCTTTCAACTGTTTACTTTAAAAAGTCATAGTTTTTATTCTCATGAGCATTTTAGATTTTTTGAGGGCTATGATGGTTGAATAATATCTAAAACTTAAAAACTAAAAAATGTACACATCTAGCCCTTAGATTTTTTTCTTATGGTTAATTTGGGGACACAAATTAAAATGAGGTAATATTAATAGAGGATTAATGAGCTAATAAGTTATAAAAGATGGAGTTCTTGACAGGAAAGGCACTATATAAATTCAAAACATTTTCATACGTAAGAAATTACTTTAGCATATGCAGAGAGCAGTGTTTTCACGATTGTTTGGGTATCGGCACATCTGACTTGCCTGATCATTTCATTTTGGCACTGAGTGGCTCGTTATTTTCTTCTCCCCTCTTTTTAATAATCTCTGAAATAATTCCAAATGGAACATTACACTTGGCTCTAAATTTTCCAATTCTAATTTTCAGAGTGGAAATATTCTTTTTGCAGATGTCAATTTATTCAACGTCTCTAGATTAATTTGCACATCAAGTCTCTGGATTTTGACATGTGGCATTAGTCATGTAAGGCCAGTACAGAGCTTTGAGTGTAATGCAGTTTTCCCAGGAGGTGAATTAAAATTACCATATGAATATGGATTTATGTCTCGTTTAGCCTTGGAGGTTACATTTTAAACCTGAACATCATATCACTGTTGCCATTTACCATTGTCAACTGGCTCAGATCAGGCAGGCGGCTTGGTTTTTCCTCAAATATCAGGTTTTGAGGGTGGCTAGTGTTAAAGCAGTGACCACTGAAAGTCACGGCAGCACACAGTTGTGACTGAATATATCACTTGCAGAAGTTTAAATTCTCAAACATGAGTTCCTGCAGTTACTAAGTTGATTTCTGCATATCAGCTCCTGAGTTGGCACAAGATGACCAAGGTTCTGGTCCCAGATCCATCCTATGACTTAAGGAAGATCACTTCACCTTTGTAAGTTTAGCTTTCTCAGCAGAGCAGATGGTGAAGCTGTTGGGCAGGGTGGTTGTGGAGGGCCTTGTGGGTACAGAAGGAGCCCTGAGGGGCTCTGAGGAGGAGGGTGGCACACGTGGACAGGGTGATGCTTCAGTGGCAGAGTGGAGGCAGGAGGACCAGCTTACCCCATCAGTTCAGATAAGAAATGGTGAAGACCGCAGAACATGGGTCATCAGAACGGAGGCACAGGAACAGCTCTGAGAAGTACTTGGAAGCCAGCAAGGGCAGAGGCTCCTGGGACGACAACCTGATTTCTGGTTTGGCCGACTGGGTTGCTGGTGTTATTGACTAAATGTACTGTTTTTGCTCAGCATCCTATAATTTGCCGCAGATTCCTTTAAGAGAGCAGAAAGTAAGATGCTTCCCTTTAGAGTTCTTGAAAATGAGTTGATTTCCATAATCATTGATGTCGCCTGCTCTCAGCTGACCACCTCTGACTTAGGTCATGTTATGTAAGCTCTGACTTGGTAGGAACTAGAAACCATGAAAAGCATTAATAGGGAGATATCGTCACAGTTCTAAAAGCTGTTCTGTCTTTTCCTGGAGTCTTTTCTTACATTTCTAATATTAAAATATTCAAACCCTGGGGCTTTGGAACCACACATTTCAGCTCTGAGTCACCAATGGTCTACACAATGCATTTGTGCCAAAAGGGTAAATGAGGTCTCCTACAGAGTAACTTGGAACCCTGCTGTTACCAACACATTAGGGAGCAAGAGCCCCATCTCCCCAGAAGCCCCAGAACATTAAATAATTAATTGCTCACTAGTGTTTTGCCCCTGTCTCTATAGTGTCAGCATGGGAGAGACAAAAGGGTGAGGAACAGAATCCTGCAGATAATAGTCTGTTCTTTAACCAAAGATGTTAATTGATGTTATATGGAGGGAAAAGCTTCTGTGCTCAGATAACCTGGAATAAAATAAAAGTAAACAGGTTTCTTTGCTTCTGGACTTTGTAGTACCTTCACTGTGCTGGCGTGCACTGCGACTGAGAGAGGAAGCCATGCAGCACTGTTCACACTTACTTGACCACAGAAGCCTGTTTCCACAGAGTATTTCTGGGAAGTAGTTGCAGGGAGTACTGCTTTGCTAAACACTGAACAAAAGCCATTTGTCTCTTTTTCCAGAGGGCATGAAGACCTGCCTGCTTTGCAGTGGGGGCCCTGAGAGCAGAGGGCACCTTTTTGCCCAGAATGTTTCCTTTGTAATTACTGAAATGTTTAACTGTTATCTAACCCTTGTATGAACTGCTTCAGTCACTTCAGATTTCTCCATGGCCTCCTTGGATTCCTGCTTCACATCGCCAGCACATAGGGAGAACACTGGACCTGGTCAAGAACTTCAGATTTTAGTTTTGTTCTTTCTAAGAAATAGATTTGACCAGGTACAGCCTGCAAGTTGCTACCATGCGTTCATTACAAAACTGCTAATATTTAAGTTCAAAGACCAATTTTTTTCCTAATTGAAAAACTGTTATAATATAACTTTCATGTGGAACAATGAAAAAAATCCAGCCCTTTATTGCATACTCTACTTTTTTTCACGTTTTTCTTATAATAACTTTATTGAGATATAATTCACATACCATAAAATTCATCCATTTAAAGTGTACAATTCAGTGGTTTTTGGTATATCCAGAGTCGAGCACCTATCACCACGGTCAATTTTAGAACACTTTCATCATCCCCCAAAGAAATCCCATACCCTCGAGCAGTCACCCTTATTCCTCCTATTTCCCCCAGCCCTAGGCCACCACTAATCTAAGTTCTGTCTGCATAGATTTGCCTGTTCTGGACATTTCATATAAATGGAATCATACGATATTTTTTAACTGGCTTCTTTCACTTAGCATAATGTTTTTAAGGTTCATACATGTTACAGCCTGTACCAGTACCTCATTCCTTTTTATTTCAGAATAATATTCCATTGTATGGATAGACCGTATTTTATTTATCCATGCATCAGTTGATGGACATTTTGGTTGTTTCCACTTTGTAGCTATTATGAATAATGCTGCTGTGAACATTCATAGAGGTTTTTGTGTGGACGTAAGTTTTCATTTCTTTGTGTATGTGGAATAGGAGTGGAGTTGCTGGATCATAGGTAACTCTGTTTTTAGCTGGTTGAGGAAATATCAGACTGTTGTTCAAAGCAGCTGCACTATTTCACATTTCCACCAGCAGCGTATGAGGGTTCCAGCTTCTCCACCTCTCACTGACACTTGTTAGACTGTCTGTCTTTTCAATTATGGTCATGCCAGTGGGTGTGAAGTGGTATCTCATTGTGGTTTTGATTTGCATTTGCCTGATGGCTAATGATGCTGAGCATCTTTTCATGTGCTTATTAGCCATTTGTGTATCTTCTTTGGAGAAATATCTGTTCAGATCATCTTCCCATTTTTTGAGTTGTCTTTTTATTATTGAATTTTAATAGTTTTTATACTAGAGATAATTCTTGTATCAGATATATGATTTACAAAAATGTTCCCCAATTCTGAGTTGTCTTTTCACTTTCTTGATGGTGTTCTTTGAAGCACAAAAGCTTTTAATTTTGATGAAGTCCAATTTATCTATTTTTTCTTTTGATGCTTTTACTTTTGGTGTTATATATAAGAAACCATGGCCTAATCAAAGATCACAAAGATATACACCTATGTTTTCTTCTAAGAGTTTTATAGTTTTAGATCTTACATTTAGGTCTTTAATCTGTTTTTTAGTTAATTTTTATATATGGCAAAGATAAGAATTCAACTTCATTCTTTTGCGTGTGGTCATATTATTTTTTTTTAATTCATGTTCCCACACACACATATCTTAAAAATCAGACTGCTTCTGTCTTCACTTAATATGATATCAGGAAATGTTTCTTTGTTTTTATTCAGGCTTCACAATTGTTTTTTAATGTGTACATAATATTCCCTCAACTCAATGTACCATAATATCCTAAATCTTCCCTATCATGTTGAACATTTGGCCTTTTTCATGTTTGGGGCCATTATGGAGATAGCTGCTATAAACATTTATGTCCACTTAGCTCTTTGCCCCTGTCAGATTGCTTCCTTAGGAGACATTCCCAAGAATGGGATTTTTTTGGTCAAAGGTTATGAACATTTCTCTAGTTCTTGTTACATGTTGCTTTTATTCATTCCTGAAAGGGCTGTGTCACTTTATAGTGCTGTATCCAATGATATACACAGCTTCACAAACATTGATGTTACCCTTCTAAAAGTTTTTGCTAACTTATCAGGTGAAAAATAATAATATTTCAAGATTTATTTCCATATCTCTTTTAAAAATTAATTTGTGTTTTGTAAAATCCAAGTGATACATGTATATTATATAAAAAGTCAAAGACTACTAACAACAAGAGTCACAATAGCCTCCTTACCCAACTGCTTTTAATTGTTTGGGTATGTGTTACTCAGAATATAAGTTTGGTGGCTATGACAGAGTCCTAGAAAACCAGTGACTTAAAAAGATAGAAGCTTATTTCTTGCCCACATGAAACTCTGAGTTAGTGTGACAAGTCTGCTTTGTGAGGCAGTCAGTGTCAAGGCTCTTTTCTGTCTTCCTGCTCTGCCCTTCTAGAATCTTGCCCTTATCTGTGTGTTCTGAGCCGTTCTACACTTCAACTGCATTGCAGTGAGGAAGAAGGGAAAGAAGGGCACACTCCTTCCCTTTGAGAGCATGACCTAGAAGTTGCTTCTGCTCATACCCCATGGCCACACCTAGTGCAAGGGAGGCTGAACAGCGTTGCCGTTAGCTGTATAGCATGTTTCCCACTAAACATGCTATTGCTGAACCAGAAGGAGGGTCAGATGTGGGGTTAGCTGGTAGTCTGTGCCACAAGCTGTTCCTCTGGTACAGACTGCCCTTGTCTGTATAGTAGGCCTATGCTGCTGTCCTCGATTCACCAGTTCTGGACGTCACCTAGTGACGACCTACTCCACGACCCCTCACCTTCCAGCCCCCTAATAACGTGCAGAATTTGCAAATATATGCCTCTTCTTTGAGAAGGGACAATTTGGAATCAGAAATTTGGGTCTCCACTTTGAGAAGTGTCAGCGCTTGGGTGGCTTGGGCAGCAGGTGCCTCTCAGCTGTGGTACCGTGGGTGCTGGCTGAGCCTCAACCGTGGAGACCTGTTTGGGTTGCGTTTCACTCTGTGCCTCCTGACACCCAGGGTGAAAGAAGATAAGAGCTGGCTTAGATGCCTACACAGCTATCTTTACCTCTTTGCAAAACAAATCCTAATTCCGGCTTATTTTAACTTTGGGGTTTGTGAAACATATTTTCGATAATTATTTGAAGTCTTAAAACATGGCAAGTGTAAATAGTAAGAGTTCATAAATTATAACTGTTGTTAATTGCTTGTGTTGCAGTAAGCTCAAGTGAACTCACCAATTGTTTACCAGCTCTCATCCCTTCTTCCTTTGGGACTTTATTTGGGTCTTAATGCTTCCAATCCTACATATATTCAGTGAAGACTCATGGATGTATGGCTTGTCTCCCTGCTGCAGTAGTTGTAACAAGCTTTGTTTAAGATGACTCACTGTTTGGATAATTCCAAATTAAGTGTTTTATTATGACCACATAAATATTGTTCACAACTGAGCCAAGTATACTCTGATTACATTTTCCTTTTTATATAACTTTCTATTTTTCCTGCAGCTCATGATGTCCTCATTTTTTTCATTTGCTTTGTGTTCTTTGAATTTCTGACTAAATCTTTCCACTCTCTCCCAGAAGCTCTTTAAAACTCCTCTCAGTACAGTTTTCTGTATGTTCCAACCTGCCAGATGATCTGTCGATTCCATTTTTTTCCTGAAGATGCTTCTTGGGGCCCTCTGTCCTGCTCATGTCTGACCTGGTCACTCTTCAGCCCTCTGCTGTCATCCTAGGACTTCCCTCTGGCATTGTTCTACAAATATCCTTACCCTCTTTCCTTTATTGGATCATCTGTTTCCTGACCCCATGTCCATCTCTTTCTTGATTTACCTCTTCATTTTGCTGGAACACATTCTCCAGTCTCTCCTTAGAAGGGATACGTGGGAAGGAGCTGTTTTGTCTTTGTATGTCTGGAAATCTCTTTTCTGCTCAGTCATTTTCTACTCTCCTATCCACTTCCATCTTCACATGTTACGGTTTTGAATTTCAGATATCTCCTGGTTTCACCGTAGATAGATTTTTGTGTTTCTCATTCTTCTGTATATTTGAGGTATTTTTCAAAAGGAAAAGGGGATGCTGGGAACGTCTTTATTCCACCATCTGGAAAGTAAAAATGCCATTTTCACTTCTTTGATTATGAGCACAGATGAATATTTTCGTATATTTGTTGAATCTTTTGATTTTTCCACTGGTGTGAATTAGCTATTAATACATTCAGAGAACAAAGTCTTTAACAATTAGCACAAAACACAGAAGTTCTAATGCTTATTTTCTCACTTGTCTCCTCTGAGATTCAGATGGTGTCAGTGTCCCAGCTGACTGCCGTCCACAGTCATTTGCTCTCATTTTCAGATTGCCTGACACCCGTGACGGCTGTGAACATGCTCACCCAGCAGGAGGTCCCTGTCATCATCTTGGCCAGAGCTGACTTTCAGGGCTCTCTGGATTCAAAAATAGGTATGTAGCTATTAAAATGTAATCAGGATAATATATTTAGCAGGCTTAAGATCCAAATACTAGCTTGTTGCTGTCCACTGGAAGAGGTGACTATTGATTCCGTGATCTGTTTTGCTTCTTTATAAAAATGCATGCCCCTTCATTTAATCATCCTTACTTAAGAACTACATTTTGAAAATATACCAAGTATATCACACCCTGCTAGTTGCTTCTGAGAATAATACAGAATGTCCAGCCCATGGATCTTGCCAGTAGAGCTAGTTGGTGAGACTCATATATATGGTGTGGGGAACAATACACCTCAGATGAAAATCCAATTTCAGAACTCAGAGAACCAACGGCAGTGGCTGGGATGGGGGTTCAAAGAACAAATGATCGATGTGGGCTGGGGGTTTTAGTGAAGGCTTTGTGGAGAGGGAGAACTTGAGCTATTCAAGAAAAGGATTGTGAAACAGCAGTAAAATTGAAGGCATATTTAGAACTGTAAATTGGATATCCTTGGCAGCCTTACTCATTCCTGCGAGTTCTAAACTATCATTACCTAAGAGGAAGTCTGGAAACGAACCAAGGGATGAGAAGCTAGTGACAGCCACATCCTGGCTCTGCCCCTGGTGTGGACCTGAACGTCTCTTCACCAACATTCCTACTGGAGGTTCCAGCCAGTCTCCAAAGTGCCACAACCCTGCAGAGAAACTTATTTCCACCCTCTCTACTTCCTAGCACACAGAAGAAAGACCAGTTCTTATCAAAATCGTGTTTTTCCTCACAATTTTTAGATCTGTTTTTGACAAAGTGATTTGAAGAAACATCAAAACAGAAAACAGATATTAAGCCATTCGAGTCATTCTCTTCTGACAATTTAAACCTAGCAAGTGTGTTGCTTAAAGGAAATAATTCCTTCTATTATTTTTATGTATTTTATAATTTTACTAATTAATACAACCAGCCAAGATAAACAATAAAGGAAGCTCTTGTTCACGTGCCTTTTTTTTTGTTTTTTGTATTTTGAGTCAAACTACTGACAGAATATTGAGAGTTCTGAAGGAAAAAAAAAATCTGATTTTTTTAGGTGTGCATAGAAAATAATTTTTCCTGTTGTCTTGATTTCCCACAGTTATGTAATTAACATTTTCTAATTGCTTCTTGCCCTCCAAGAAGAACAGAAACAGGAAGAAACAAGACATCAAGCAGTATCTTGGCCATCCCACCTGTATGTTGCAAATAGTTCGCACTCTACTGAGCCCCACATGACCAACACCATGGCCCAGAGCATTCTTTATGTGGTCAAATAAATGTGGTCACAATGTCTCTGTTCAGATTTTACTCAGTCCAGACCATACCCTTTTGGAATGTAGTAAATGGCTTTTGTCCCTTCTTGCCCATGAGCACTTCTCAGTAATATTTAATTGCTTGCTGTTTGTCCTTACTCTTCAGTATCCTTCAAGTCCACTCTGAACATTGATTTGCTTCGTTAGTTGCTTTTTGTCAATAATCTCAGCTGGAACACCGTAGAACTTTCCATTATACCACAGAGCTTTCCATCTGAATAAGGAGCTTTAGAACCTGTCTCCCAAACATTAAATCACCCTTTTAGGGCAGTGTTCCAGAGAGGTTGTTCTCAGAAATCTGACTTAAGCATTTTGTGTATCACCCTTAGTTTTATCTCTGTTTGCCACGTGATATATTGTGTCCACAGGATGTCAGCGGTTTTGCAAGATGGTCGCAGCAGGAGTTCTCAACCAGGGGCGATTTGCCACCAGGGGACATTGGGCAATTTTAGAGACATTTTCGTTTGTCCCAACTGGAGGAGTGCTACTGGTAGACACCAGGGATGCTGCTCAGCATCCTACAGTGCACAGAACAGCGCCCACAAGGAAGTCCAGAATGTCAGTAGTGCCAAGGTTGAGAAACCCTGCCCTGCAGAGCCAACAACCGAGAAACCTGTTTTTATGAATAGCTGAAGCCAAACCCGCAGGCCTTGGTCTGGATGAGTGATTTACTTATGCTCAGCTCCATCTCCTCAAGGGCATGTATGGGTTGAAGAATAAATGTCTATTCAGAATGTACTATTGCCTCTGGTAAGAAAGCACAGTATGAAGACACATAGTTGCCAGCTTTTGACTTCCTGACTGAGTGGATTTTTCTAGGGTGCTAGGGAATGCTGGAGGGGTCAGTCCGCTTCTCAGGAGAACGCTACTCTCCTCTGTCACTGAGGGAATTCAAAGATGCTTCCCCAGATGCTTGTGAAGAAGCACCCAACATTGTATATTTCAGAATTATAACTGTTTTTAAAAAGAAATTAAGCAAAGGAAAATGACTTAAAGGAAATAATACCAATATGGTAAACTGGTTGTGTTAGGGTGGTGGGTTTCTCCAAAACGGTTCTCCATTTTCCCAGTGAACGTGATGTGATTTTACGACTTCTGTAATTAAAAAAGATAGAGAGTTTCCTTTAAGAAGCTAAAGCTGAGTGTCAGTGCTGTCAGTTATTTTGTGATTTGGGTATTTGCAGAGATGTTTTGTATTTCTTCTCCTCTCAATAGGAATTCCCAGCACCAGCTCGGAGGACACCGTCTTAGCCCAAACCTTGGGCCTGCCCTACTCTGAAGTCATTGAAACTTTGCCAGATGGCACAGAGAGACTGAGTGGCTCTGCGGAGGTTAGTGCCCCGTGGCATGGGCTGACGAACCTACTTCTAAAATCATGACCTTGACATGAGTTTGACAAGACAATTTTCCTTCGGATACAAATTAAGACCTGCCATTTCACTCATCCCCACACCTAACAGTCACCTAGCCTCGTTTCTTAATCTATGAAAACAAAATATTCTTTTTCAAGATCTAGAAGTTTATCAACTCTAAGTCATACCCAATCCTAGAATAGTATGGTCATTGAAGTAACTAAACTTTTTGCGGGGAATCTTCTGCTTCCCCGAAAAAATGACTTCTTCCAGGGAAACTGATTCCTTGGGAGAGGTGAATGAAATTGGCTGTTCTTCCTAGAGGTCTCTGTTCTCCTCAGATTACTGACTTATTTCCACCTAAAGTTTAACTCATTCATAGAAATGAACAGAGAGGTTCTGAGACATGTTTATTTGGTCAAGGTTATCTCTTGCTAGGTGGTAAGTCTACCAAGATTTCAGCCCAGTCTCTATGTTGAACTAGGCCAGAAAGTATGATGGAAGAGGTAGGGTGGGGTGTGGGAGGGAGAAGTGGGAAATGGCTTAGAGCAGTAGTCTCTAACTTGAGCACACACCAGAATCACCTAGTGGCCTTGTTAAACACAGACTGCCTGGCCCCCACCCAGAGATTCTGATTCAGTAGTCCTGGATGGAACCCAAGAATTTCCAGGTGCTACTGCTGCTGGTCCAGGGACCACATTCTGAAAATCACTGGCTTAGAACCTTGCTACCCAAAGTCGTGTCCCTGGACCAGCAGCATTGGCATCACTTGTTAGAAATGTAGCCTCTCAGACCCTGCCCTAGTCTAATAAGATTTCCATGTGGTTCATATGCACATTAAAATTTGAGAGTACGGGTTTAGAGCCCTCTTTCTTAAACCTGGCTGCACTTTGGAAGGACCTAGAAAGTTTTTTAAAATACTGATGTTTAAGCCCCACCCCAGATATTCTTATTCTTATATTAATGGTAATGGGGTCGGGGGTCTGGATCAAACATTAAGAGTGTTCGGAGCTCCCCAGGTGATTCTAGTGTGCAGCAGTCCGGGAACTACTGGCTTAACATAGTGATTGCCTACCTGGCTGTGTCTCTGCATCACCTAGGAGGTGCTTGTGGGCCCCACCCTGGGTGATCCTGATTCAGTTAGACCTGAAGATCCAGGTTTTTCAGGTTTGGGACTACCTGGCTATAGTATATTATATATACATAAAGAATAAGGGTATATGGGGCCGGCCCAGTTACGTAATGGTTGAGTTCTCACACTCCACTTTGGTGGCCCGGGGTTCGCAGGTTCGGATCCCAGGCACGGACCTACGCACCACACCACTCATCAAGCCATGCTGTGGTGGCATCCCATATACAAAGTGGAGGAAGATGAGCACAGATGTTAGCTCGGGCTAATCTTTCTCAGCAAAAAGAGGAGGATTGGCAACAGATGTTAGCTCAGAGCCAATCTTCCTCACCAAAAAAAAAAAAAAAAGAATAAGGATATGGGCAGGTTTTTTCCTTTATAAGGAGTGACAGCATTTTCTGACCTCATGTTTGTGCCTTCACTTCATAAATTGTATCTCCAGACATGACTCATGCTTTCAGATATTGAACCTTAAACCTGTTTTTAGACCGTGTTTGAGCAGGCCCCCTGGATGTGGAGCCATGCCAAGGTTTCTGTGAGGGAGCCCCAGATAACCCTCTGCAGGGCAAGAAAGGGGACACTCAGGGCCAAAATTAGGCTTCTGAAGTTCCCAGAGAAATGCCCCCTCCTTATTATAGGACTGAGCATTAATTATTCTCCCTGGCTTCTTTCAAATAGCCTCAGGTGGTCTGTTGAATCCTCTCCTGGCTCTAAACTGAATATCTAGGATAAAGGAATTCTTTCAATGGATGGAAGGAGAAAGGATAGTGAAAGGCTTGTTTCATCCATGAGCTTCTGGAATGTAAAGACAGTGATGCATGGAGAAGATAGCCTTTCAGGAGAGCTTGTATCACTGGTACCATAATTATATGATAGTGGGAGTGCAGGACATAGAAAATGCCCTCCAGAATGGAAGTGGTTCCTTGGTAGAGAGCTCCGTACTTTAGAAGATGCTTGAGACCCTTAATGAAAAGAGCTGCTTTTGATAAACATAGCTGTACTTTCTTACTCTTTATGCCTCAGGACTGTAAGCTCCTTGAGGGCAGGGGGCAGATCGGATTTATTTTTGTGCCCCCAATGCCTAACACAGGCCTGGCACATTGGTGTACAGTACATCTTCACTGAACCAATTCCAGGGTACCCACGATCCAGCCACGCTGGCTCAATTCTTATCATTTGTTTGGTTCTCTGAAAAGCATCAGGTGAAAAGAGACTTTCTCTTTTCTGCTATTGTGTTCTGGCCTGCTGTCTATAAAATGGGAGCATTCAAATAAAGGAGTGGTTCTGGTCCTTCAGGCTGAGGGCCCAATTCGTTCCCCTGCTGGCCTGAATTCCTTCTGCTTTAGGATAATATTGAATTTTTCTTTTCTAGATATTTTCCCCCCAATGTGGGAGTAGTCATTAGAAATACATATCATGCGGCTCTTTACTGGCAGCTAAATGCTGATCTTTGATTGTCTCTGTAGGTGTGGCAGGGCTCAGGTGGTAAGGAGAGCCACAGAACCAGGGCCACTCTACCTATTAGACATAGTGGACATGGGGCCTGGGGCCCACAATACTTTCAGGGACCCCCAAACAGGTTTAATTTCTTTTAAAATCAGAAGAAAAAAGTGAACTTTTAGGGTCAAAAATTATATTCATCTTTATTCAACACAGTCATAAAATATAATTTTTAATATTATCTTAAGAAGGAAGGGCCCACAAAGGCACCTAAGGCCTCACAAAAGTCATAATGTGGCCCTGCAGAGACCACACATAAAAATAGCAGTCCGGGGGGCAGCATGGGGGTGGTAACTTGTTCTTGAGGAAGGAAGAACGGGGTCTTTCTCCTTCCTCTCTTCAGTTCACAGGTATGAACCGGCAGGATGCATTTCTAGCCCTGACTCAGAAAGCCCGGAGGAAGAGAGTGGGTGGAGACGTGACAAGTGATAAACTGAAGGACTGGCTGATCTCCAGGCAGCGGTACTGGGGCACACCAATCCCCATGGTCCACTGCCCAGCCTGTGGCCCCGTGCCTGTGCCTCTGGAGGACTTGCCCGTGACCTTGCCCAGCATCACGTCTTTCACCGGCAAGGGAGGCTCCCCCCTGGCCACGGCTTCAGAGTGGGTGAACTGCTCCTGCCCAAGGTAAGGAACCACGGCTCCCAGCCATGACTATGTCTGTGGCCCCAGCACCCTGCTGGGGTTTCAGACTCCCTCCTCCCTCATGGGGCTACCTCTGCTCCCTTTTTCCAGGACTTCTACCAGACTGAAAAGAATACCCTAGGTCTTTTGGGACCTTTGAGAGAAGGGGCTTGAATCTGTGGCCTAGCCACTGTGATGGGCACCCTCTCCTCTCCTCTGAGCTGGTGGAGGCAGCAGTGTCAATTCACGTCTCTCCCAGAAACATCTGATCCAGCTGATGGAAAGGCTACACATTTTCATCACAGCTTTGTAGAAGACCACTTTCTTCCATTTTATATTCCAAAGAGCTCCTTGGAGATGAGAAAAATATTTTCTCCTCTCCGCCTTATGGTTTTCGCACATTGTGACCGTGGCAACGGTGGAGACTTTATCATAAGTAGCAGAGCAGTAGCTACGACGGCGAGTGTGCTCAGGGGCTTCATTCTTTAATATAGTGAAACACACGCTGTTTCCTTTCTTCTCATCTTGGAGTGGGGTTACGTTTTTCTGTCAATTCACTGGCATGTCTCAAATGTGATTTTTATGATGCCATACCAGCTGATTAAACAAATAACAGATACCAAACTCTAGTATCTTCCTTCTTCCTTCTATGGAAAAGCCATTTTTCTCTGCCTTATAGATCACGATGAGAATGTTTTAAAAATAATTTAGTCCTCTGCCAGTACAGAGCTGAGTTACGAGGTTGGTAGTTAGGTAACCACTTAGTGCAATGGCAAGGCTCAGGCTGGGCAGTCAGACCATAATGAACTCAAGTCCTGGCCTGGCCCCTTAATTAACTGTGTGGCCTTGGGAAAGTCACTTAACTTCTCTGAGCTTCAATTCCATTATCAGGAACAAAAATAAGCCCCTTGAAGGGCTGTTCAAAAGACTAGAATTAACACACGTATCCCTCCACAGTGGCCCCTAGCAAACATTCAGTAAATGGAAGTGTTACCGCCATCCTGCCAGGGACTTGGAACAATCCTCCCAAGTCCTCACTCAGGTGGTTTTGAGATTTGAGATGGGGCTTATGGGAAGGAACATAGGAAGCTCTGGGCCAAGAAATGTGGGCTCCGGGAGAAAATAGCACACTGTGTTTGTTGGGTAGCAGTGACGAAGAACTTCCCTGCCGGAGACGTGGGTGGCCTGCAGAGCGCCAGTTGCAGCAGCCTGGGGCCGTGGTGGGGGATGAGATTTCCTACCCTGGCTGCAGGTTCCTGAAGGGCAGAGCCACACCTTGGTATTGGTCAAGGCTCTCTGGATGATTCTAATGAGCATCCAGGACTGAGAGCCACGGAGCCAGCGTGCCCAGGCGGACCACACAGTGGTAAGAACCGCAGGCTCCAGAGTCCAGCAGATGTGGGTTCCTTACTCTGGAGCTCCAAGACCTTGGCTGATTTCTTAACCTCTCTTATCCCTCATTACTCATCTGCAAATTGGGGACATAATCTACCTCGTAATCCCCGGGGTTACTGGGGATTAAATGCGAAAATGCCTGTGAAGCATTTGGCTCAGTGCCTGCCGCCCAGTGTTAGCACTATTACTATTGGAGCTAATGATGATGATAATGTCACCGTCACCATCATTTATCCCTCCCACTTACCAAGTAACCTCTTCATATCATCCAGCTTTTAGTGTCAATAATAAAACATGTTGGTTGTCTTCAAGTCCGCCGCGACCATTGAAAAGAAAATCGACATGGCAAGTTTTAGCCAGATGATGTTCCTTTTATCAACTGAGTCCTGCATTTTCTTCCTAACTTGTACGGGTTCACTAATAGTGAGGGAGAAGAAGTAACCTTTATCTTCTAATTATTTCCTAAAATAATATCTGTATTCTGGTTGATTGCTCTCCAAATAAAAAGACCTGGCTTTAATGTAGAGATGCACTGTTGAGATCAGTGTCTTATAGCAGCCCTGGCTGGTAGGATGCAGAATTCCCTTGGGGCTCTCTCCGATAAGCTCCTACCCCAGGGACCCACCCCTGTTCCCAATGAGAGGCCCCCTAACTAAAATGCAGGATGCTCCTGGGAGTCCCAGAGCCCTGCCAGATCTGGGCCTCCTATCTCTCTGCTCAGCCACTTCCATTTAATAAGTGGGAGGTGGGAAATGGCTGTTTCCTTCGGTAAGATTTATAAAGCCAGTATGAACTGCTTCACAGATGCAAGATATAAATGCAACCCTTCTTTTATTTAAATGTTAAAAACAGACTCAAGTCCATGCATGCTAAATTAGCAGAAGATTCATCACTTCTTCTTGGGGCTCCTCATGCACCTCCTTAAATTCTCCAGGAGCCCTCCCAAGACTTACTCTGCTGAAGTGGTCGCATTTGGTCCCGCTTCCATGCCTCAGAAGGGAGAGCCTGGAGTCTGAGCTGTGTTCTCCTGCTGTGTTCTCCCTGCCACAAAGGGTCCCTGTCAATAGTTGACACAACCCCTCCATTGTTCATCCAGGCTTTGAGGGGTCTTCGAGGGGCTGAGCCCCCTCTTCAGCTAGGCTTGACTAAGGGCACTCTTTCTTGGGTTTCTAGAAGTTGTGGCTTTTGGCACCCGGTTCTTTCCGTCCCACAGGCCCGTCACCCTTGGAACATGCTTCAATTGGCTCAGCAGGTGGACCCTTTTGGAACCTTGGTCCTCCCCAGGCATCTCCATCCTGGGATGAGAATTGCTTTTTTCTTTTCAGCCATTCACACACTGAGGATCTCGCGTTATTCAATTTTTTGAACAGTAGGGCTCTCTTCACCCTTCTGTAAGGAACCTATCTTGAGGCACTGGTGTGTTGGTAAATGTATATTAAATAGCTCTCTGGAGGGACGTTTCTGATTTGTAGTGTTTGTTGATTTCTGTGGTATAATACTCCCACCAGGGCTAATTTCAGGATACCAACTTAACGTCACTTGTCGCAGAGGTAGGAAGAGGTGCTAACGGTTGATTCTCACAAGATGGTATGAGTTGGGTCCAGCACACCACTGCCTTTGGGCCTCAAGGGTGATTTGTCTTCTCAAGGTCTCCCCAGTGGATTTCTGCACCCCTCACCCTGGAGCAGAGATAGAAAAAACCCCAAGTTCGTTTTTCAGCACAGCAGCTTGATACATTGATTTTCAACTTCTCTTCATAAACTGATTTGCCTCATAAACATCATAAAGTAGGCATTGGCTGAAGGCAATCTTGACATGCCTGAAATAGAAGTTAATGTGCAAAAGAGACACTTACTCCTGTCTTCTCCCTTTAGGTTGTTAGATTTTCTACCAGGGTAAAGAAGTGGATAAATAAGGCTTTTAATTGTTGAAGATTGAAATTTTTATTTTGTAAATTTCTTTAAAATATCATGTACCGTACAATACAAAAAGGGAGCTTTCTCTGAATTTTCTTGACGTGGCATTGTTCTTATGACATTTTAAATTCATAGTGATTGTCATAGCTTTCTCAAAAGCTGTTGGAAAACTGCATTAAAATTTAAAAAGAAAAGAACTGATGAACTTCATTTATTTCTTAGGTGCAAGGGAGCAGCCAAGAGAGAGACAGACACTATGGATACCTTTGTTGATTCTGCTTGGTACTACTTCAGATACACCGACCCTCGGAATACTCACAGGTAAAGCCCTGCTGAATTCACTGAGCATGTGTCAGCCTGGGTCCTCCAAGAAGCAAACACCACGAAGGAATTAGATGTGCACGAGATTTATTGAGGGATATGCATACAAAGAATAAAGGGGTGAGGGAGCAGGAGTAGGCAGGGGGAGCCCTCAGACCATGATGCCGGTCTGACACCTGTGAAAGGAGAGGGCAAAAGAAAAAGGATTGGGTAGGAAGAGCCTCAGATTATGGCGCAGCTCTAAGAAAGGCTCAACCAGGCCAACGGGAAGCCCCGAGCAAAGCTTGTCCTTTAGAGAGTCCCAAGTCAGGCAGAAATGCCTCTGCTCTGGTCCCCTACCTCCGGGAGAGCATGGGCTGGAATGAACACCAAGTAGATCCGAAGATGCATCAGCTGGAAGCTGTTGGTCAACAGTGCTCCTTGAAACAGGCTCGCTCTCGTAAAGGGAGCGTGTTAGGTTATTACATTAGATTCTTCACAGCCAAGTAAATCTCAAGTACAAGAAAAATAAAAAACAGAAAAAGGAAGAAATTGCTATTGTAATACCTTCCTTGGCCCTGCAGTGAACTGCATTTATATGATTGTGGAGTTGTAATATTATTTACGTAACTGAAAATACTGCTGTAACTATACAGGGAGGGTAGGTGATAGGGAGTGTGAGATAGCTAAGAAGCATTACCTCTTATCCCATACAGTCAATAGATAATTTTTAAATTGACAAATCAACAAAGAGTATAAACATATTTTTTAATAATTGCCGGAAGAAACAGCTAAAAGAATTATAAAAGTAGCTAAGGGATAGGCCTGGGGGGAGGAATGGGGCTGGAGACCACTGTTTTAAATTATAAACAGTTCTATTTGATTTTTCAGCTATGTGCATGTGTTTCTTTGACCAGAGTAAATCGATGAATGAGGGAAAGAGAGCAGTAGGTAAAAGGGTAAGGAGAGGGAATGAGAGCAAAGGAGAAAGCTATGGTAGAGCCCAGGGGAAGCCACAAGCCCCGTGCCTCAGAGACCTTGCCGTTCTCTGTGGGAGAACTGTCATCCGGAAACCCTGTAGTCCACCTAGAGAGGTGCCCCCTTTTTCTTCCTTGGTTGTAAAATAATACATTCCAGTGAGTCAGGTGCTCCTGCCGTCCCCCGCCCGAATCCCGCCCTGCATTGTTGTAGTTCTGTAATTTGGGTTCAGGCCATCCAGAAATGAGTGGGGTCCTGAGTAAACAGTAGCCAGCAAAGGCAGGAAGGAAGTAGGCTGACTGCTGTGGCTGGGAACCACCAGGGTGGCCCGGCTAACCCACAGAGGGGACCCTCTTCTGGGTCTTCCTTCTAGAAGGGGCTTTTGGTGTGTTGCATTTAGTAACCGCTGGCTTTGATTGCAAGGGGAATCAGGCTCTCTACCTTGCAGAATACTTCAAAGGAGAGCCTTCTTCCAGATGATAGAGACTCTAAGTTACAATGATGGGACCCTTGACTGGAGAGAGACACCTTGAGATCCGCACAGCCCCACTTTGGGAATACCACGCAGCACGTCATTTCCCTCAGAAAGTGCTGCTGTCAGTTTCCACACTGGCTGGACTTCTCACTAGCGTGGTTCCCGGGGTAGATCACAGATCCAAGCGATAGCTTCTTTCAATATCTCACTCCTTAATTTATCCCAAACTTCTTTTCGGGCCAAGTACCATCCTTGACTTCCCTTTTCCTCTGTCACCTGGATGAGCAGTTGGATTTCTCGAGGGAAGCATTTTTCACAAAGAAAAAACATTTTTTAAAATTTTACCAGAATTCTGGCACGGTACCTGGAGGAGAGAAAACCAAGCCGCATTAAGATGCGAACACATGGTGGTTGGCCAGGCCTACCTGCCAAGCCCTGGGCTGTTACTCCCAGCCTGAGCTGGAGCCAGGGAGGTCCATGCTGGGGAAAAAGGTGCCTTGAGGTTGGGGAATAGAATTCACAAATATTTGAAACCATGGAGTACAAATCCTCCAAAGGCAAAGGTTTACTTCATTGGCTGACCTCAAGTGAGGGTAGTACCTTGAGATTGAAGAAGTCTGTCCTCAGCCAGTACTGCTTCCCCCCACAACCAATACGTGCACGTGCACACACATACACACACACACACACACCTCTGCACACTCACAGACACTCCTCCTCAAGAGTCCCAGCCAGAAAATAGAGGGAAGTGGCATTTCCTTTCCTCCCCAGCATCCATTAGGACCAGGAAATATGAGAAGCCCTTTCTTTTTTTTTTTTTCCCCAAAGCCCCAGTAGATAGTTGTATGTCATAGTTGCACATCCTTTTAGTTGCTGTATGTGGGACGCAGCCTCAGCATGGCCGGAGAAGCAGTGCATTGGTGCATGCCCGGGATCCGAACCGGGGCCGCCAGTAGCAGAGCGCACGCACTTAACCGCTAAGCCACGGGACCGGCCCGAGAAGCCCTTTCTTTTAGGATCTCTGTCGACCAAAAAGTATCTATTAGGTGAGAGAGTCGTTGAGATATTTTATGACAATCACGCTAAATATGCTCATTGCATTCAGGAAGCCATATACAGGCTCTTGCTGACTATCTGTATTTTAAGGCTGCTTTTAAAGATAAAATTGAATTTCTATTTTAAAATGAACATTTAGTGTCTGCATGTTAATCTCCATTGTAAATGCCACATTGCCCTCTATTGGTAAGAACTCAAAAATCTCAGTTGTCTAATCACAGTGAAAATTAAAATAAATCTAGATATTCAGATACACATTTTGCAGAAATACCTTTTTTTGCTGTTATGATTTCCTCTTCATTTTATATGAAAATAGCATTTGTTAAAATATGTCAGTAATGGCTTCTGAAACAGTTTTTTTAAATATCATAAATCAACACTGATCTGACTTTTTTCTCCTTCATTATATAAGCTTTTCTCTTATTACATTTTAAAAAGAAAATCACTATTTTTCTCTGACAATTTATTTCAGGGCATATGCAAATTATAATCAGTCTGTCTAATTTATGCAATTGTGACAAAGCAGGTTTTCTTAAAATGACCATTTCTCTTTCTCCTAGCCCTTTTAGCACAGCGTTGGCAGATTACTGGATGCCTGTGGATTTGTACATTGGAGGGAAAGAACATGCCGTCATGCACTTGTTCTATGCGAGATTCTTTAGTCATTTTTGCCACGATCAAAAAATGGTCAAACACAGGTGAGCATTTATACTGCTTTGCAAAAGAATTCACTTCCATGAACAGCAACTTAAAGCAAGTGTCAGTTCTTCCAAAGCAAGGTAAATATATGTAGCAGAAGAATTCTATTTTTCAAGTGCACTTTAGAGGTCGTTGTTGGCCTTAACCATTTGAAGTGCGTTTCTCTTGCTTAAGCAGTTCTAGTCTGTGGTGGTGCATGCTCACGCAGAATCTTGCCTTCCGCTCTTCTCTGTTTAACTGAGTTAAGTAATTAAGATTCTACTTGTGAGGCAGAGAAGAGTGACTGGTTCATAATGTTATACTGCTTTTTATAGCTTCTCGTGTGAGGTCATGTTTATCATCTGGTCCCTCTGTGTAAGCTCTATTTCTTTTTTTTTTTTCTGTTGTTTATTTATTTTTGTGTGTATGTGTGAGAAAGATGAGCCCTGAGCTAACATCCATGCTAATCCTCCTCTTTTTGCTGAGGAAGACCGGCTCTGAGCTAACATCTATTGCCAATCCTCCTCCTTTTTTTTCCCAAAGCCCCAGTAGATAGTTGTATGTCATAGCTGCACATCCTTCTAGTTGCTGTATGTGGGACGCGGCCTCAGCATGGCCAGAGAAGCAGTGCGTCGGTGCGCGCCGGGATCCGAACCCAGGCTGCCAGTAGCGGAGCGCGCACACTTAACCGCTAAGCCATGGGGCCGGCCCCTGTAAGCCCTATTTCTAAGCTTGACTGAATCCTGCCTTGATAAATCACTCTGATAAAAGTATGTAATGGATTAAAAGCTAGGGAATCGCGTTGTAAATCCATTGATAAATTCTTTTCCTCTTGGCTTATAATCTGTTGCCCATTATGTTCAGAAAAATGTGTGTGCTTTTTTCCCATGAAATACATCATGTATATAAAAGATGTATTTAATGTATTATGTAATTTAAAGAATAAAATGACATCCGTGCACCCCCTCCTCAGTTTCAGAAATAGAGTCTTACAGTCCCTTAGAATACCCAGGGTGCCCCTCTCTGTCATATCCTCCCTCTTCCTACACCACCACCCCTCCCCCAGCTAACGCCTATCCTGAATCTTGAATTATTCATTTTTCTGCTTTTCCTTGTAAATTTATCACCTTTGTGTATATTCTTAAACAATATGTATTGTTTAGTTTTCCTGTGTTTGAACTTTATGTAAGTAGAATCACATTTCATGTATTCTCTCTTGCTTTCCTCACTCAGCATTTTTTGGGATTCCTCCATGTTGCTGCGTGGAGCTATGTTTCATTCCTATTTCACCACTATGTGGTATTCCATGATATGGAATGGACTTTCTGATAAAGACCTCAGTTTATGTGTCTGTACCACCATTGGTGGTCATTGGACTCTTGTGCGATTATGAACAAAACTGCTATGAGCATTCTTGTACACGTTTCCTGGCATACATGTGTCAGCGTTTCTCTAGGGTGTGTACCTCAGGGCAGAATTGCTGAATCGTAGGGTATGCACATGTTCAACTTTACTAAGGAACACCAAACTGTTTTCCAAATCAGCTGTATAAACCCACACTCACACCAACAGAGATGAGGGTTCCTGCTGCGCTACCTCTTCATCAGTACAGCAGTTAGGATTATCCAACTTGTTAAATTTTGCCAAACTGGGGATTATGTAATGGATCACTTTGTGACTTAAATTTGAATTTAAAGACACTGCTTACTTAGCAAAGTTTAGCATGTTTTTAATATGTTCATCAACCCCTGTGTTTCCTCTTCTATTAAGTCCCTGTTTGTGTCCTTTGCCCTTATTTCTTCTGGATTGTCTTTTATTGATTGTAGGAATTCTTTAAATATTCTGGATGCTAATCCTTTTTCCGCTATATGTATTGCAAGTATTTTTTCCAAGCTCTTAGCTTGTCTTATTTTTATGGTATCTTTTGATGAACAGAAACTCTTAATTTAATGTAGTAAATTTTAATGATCTTTTCCTTTACGACTATTGCTTTTAGTGTCTCAGTACCATTAATGGAACAGTCCATCCATTTCCCCACTGATGTGGAGTGCCTTCTCCATCATAAATCAAGTTTTCATATATATGCAAGGGCCTTTTTATAGGATCTTTATTCCATCCGTTGATCTGTTTGCCTCTTGCTGTGTTAATTGTTTACTGGCTTTGTTATTTTAATTTTACAACTCTTGATATCCAGTAAGGGAAGTCCTCCTACTTTGTTCTTTTTCTTTGGTAGTGTCTTGGCTATAATTGGACCTTTGTTCTTCCATATAAATTTCAGATTCAGTTATCAAATTCCACAAAGGTATCTATTGGGAGTTTAATTGGAATTACATTGAATCTACATACTTACTAATATCTTTTCTCACTCTTCCTTCTTGCATCTCTGACCTTAACATCTAAAATCATTTCCCTTTTATCTGAAATATATACTTTAGAATATCTCTTATGTTCTTTAGTGAAGGTCCATCTGTTAGTTATTTGTCTAAAAATACATTTGTTTCTACCTCATTTCTTAGAGTCTGCCAGCTCAATGACACATTTAAAACAAAGATTTTTTTTATATCTTATCTGGCTTTTTCACTTGTTTTTCATCAAGACAATAATTCAGGCTCTCTTGTCTGCCCTACTGCCAGGAGCATAGTTCCTGTCATTTTTTTTCAGTTGTTATTGTGTTTTGTTTTTTTAATAGAACATCTTTTAGAATATTTTTTAATTGCAGAGAAGAAAAGGGGGAAAAATATCTAATTATCTCTGTCCAGATAATACATGTTAACAGTAAAAAAAATAAATAAATAATAAAAAAGTAATACATCTAAGATTAAAATTTTTTAACTGCACAAAGTGAACCTTGAAATCTCCCTCCCTGCACCCACCCTCCACCATTCTCCTCAACTTGTTGACAGTTTCTTTGATTTCTTCCAGAAAATATTTGCATCTTTCCATGTTTCTATTGATGCACTCATTTTTAAATTTTATATATATTACATACATGTCTTTTGCTTTTTTGATTTAATAATATATCTTGGTGAGCTTTCCACATCAGAGTGTACAAATCTCCATTCTTTTTAATTTATGCATAGTATTCTGTCCTATGCCATAATTTATTTAAGCAGTCATCCATTTTTTCAATTGCTGTTACGAAAAAAAGTCCAGTGACTCTCTTTATCTATATTCTTGGCAAGTACTTGGGATCGTATCTGTAGGTTCAAGTTCTGACACTGGGGAGTGCTGGGTCAAAGAATATGTCTTTTTTAATTTTTGATAGATAAAAAGTGATTACTTTTAAAAGCTCTGCAATGCAGACTAAAATCCAGTTTCACTAAAATGAAGCACATTGAAAGCTCCCTTCCCTTCACCCCGTGCTCAGACCTCCTTCCTCATGCGTGCACACACGGATTAAAAGCCCACGGTACATGGGCCGGCCCGTGGCTTAGTGGTTATGTGCGTGCGCTCTGCTGCTGGCGGCCCGGGTTCGGATCCCAGGTGCGCACCGACGCACCGCTTCTCCGACCATGCTGAGGCTGCGTCCCACATACAGCAACTAAAAGGATGTGCAACTGTGACATACAACTATCTACTGAGGCTTTGAGGAAAAAAAAAGGAGGAGGATTGGCAATAGATGTTAGCTCAGAGCCGGTCTTCCTCAGCAAAAAGAGGAAGATTAGCACGGATGTTAGCTCAGGGCTGATCTTCCTCACACACAAAAAAAAGCCTACTGTACAGAAAACTAATTTAGGATATAAATTAAATGCTTAAAATAATTTTCTTCTCATTAGTCCCAGACCTTCATGTGTAAAAATAAACTGATCTGCATCAAAAGGACACTAAACACGTTTACAGTGTTAATCCTCAGGTAAATAAATTAGTTAAAATGTTTGTACCGTGGGTTATAGAATTTACCATTCTGCCTGGCATTGCTTCTCTATGGAAACTTCTTTACCTCACTAGGTAAAGATCATCCTTGAGGATGGGAACTGTATCTTGTTACTATCACAGTCTCCTGGATATTGTATGTATATTCTCTGATAAATTGAGTTTAGGGCCAGCCCCGTGGCTTAGCAGTTAAGCGCGTGCGCTCCACTGCTGGTGGCCCAGGTTCGGATCCTGGGCGTGCACCAATGCACCGCTTCTCCGGCCATGCTGAGGCTGCGTCCCACATACAGCAACTAGAAGGATGTGCAGCTATGACATACAACTATCTACTGGGGCTTTGGGGGGAAAATAAATAAATAAATAAAATCTTAAAAAAAAAAATTGAGTTCAATCCCTTGATATAAACAGATAAAAGTTTGTATCCTTCAATGGAAATGTTATCCTTGGGATAGGGAGAATTGGGTAGAGGTTAAGTTCAAAGACCAAATACAACCTGAGAAATATTTCCTTCTCATGCACGTCTAGAAGCAAAGACCATAATGATTTCTGGCTCCTTAACAGGAGGGCACACTTCTCAGCTTCTGAACAATTATTTGTAGAAATAAGGAATGAATCAATAAATGATTCAACGGCTATTTTAAGGTGTAGGACAGGGCCTCGCTGCTTTTGTGACTTTTCCCCAGTGGTTTAGAACTGTATTTGGGGAGAAAAAAGGTTTACAGCAGCCTGATATAATTTTAAAATACAGTTTTGGGTATGACTTGTTTCTATTCAAGTGAATTTCTAGTTTGCAAAGCTTTCAGGTACACCTGGAATTTGCTTCACCATCAACTTTAAGTATAAATTGAAATATGCCTGTGCAGTATTTTTGTTAGTGCTTTACGAGACAGTAAGGTTCTGTTCCATGCCCTCCCACCCCCAGAAAGAGAGGGATTTACTTTAAGTGCTCAGAAGTCTGAGCTTTTTGAAGAGGGTGCAGAAAGGCGTCTTATCTCTGTTTCTCAGCTCAGTTGTCAGGATTACTCCTATTAAATCTCATCAGGGCAACAACAGCCTCTGAAAACTCGCTCTGAGCCCTACCTCTGTATCAGAGGTGTTTTGGTAAACCAGTCTGCCACAAATGCAATGAAAATCACCCACTTTCTAT